CTCATGCAAGTTGTCATTAATAGTCTGTGTATGTTTAATTACAGCTGTTAATTCTCTTTTTTATATTCTAAATCTTATTGTTCTTCCTCTGTGTTTGTGTTTGTTTCAGAAAGCAGCCCGAGTGTGTAAAGTTGAGGACAGCGAAGAACTGTTACTTGCAGCTAGGTATACGGCCTGAGTTTAGTTTCATAACATTGAAGTACAGTACAGTTTTATTTAATCTTTAAGAACAGATTTTTTACATTTATTTTAGTACAATGTTTATTTAACTTTTATGTGCAATACATTTTATTTGAATCATTATTTAAGTAGAGTTATTCGTTTTTTTTCCTAAATTTAAGTCTTAATGTTGAAATTGTAAAACAGTGGTTCTCCCTCTGTATAATGTTATAATGGCTGACAATATTAAATATACCTCTTTAGGAATGAAACCTCTGCCTTGTTTTTGATGAATACTTCGGCTTATTACGCTACTGTGTGGTGTTGGTCATTTGTGGTGGTACTTGGAGAGGCAAGTATTTTCTGAGGTGGTACTTGGTGTGAAAAGTTTGAGAACCTATGTACTAGAGATTCAAAGATAACGACCTTTATTGAACAGGTGTAAAAGTGAGAGTACTCTGGGATGAGTACTCTGAGAAAAGTACTCTGCGTAAAGTACTCGGAGATGAAATACCTCGCTGAAGATATTGGGAGTTCCTCCCTCTGCTGTTTGCCCTGACAGTGATTCGGTCCAACCGCAGTGAGCTGTCGTTGGTTGAAGGACAACTTTGGTTGGTAAACTCACATTTAGGGGAGTATAAAATTAGAAACATACATTTTGTTGTTCTGTATCTGGCTACAGCCTCCGCCCTGATGCCACACACCGTCTGCCAATGCAGTTATGTTTTGCCCAATTGGAAAAAAGATTGACAAGCGAAAGTGGGCATTTTTTTGTGTTTTTTTTGTGTTCTGATATTTCTTTTTCAGATGAGAGATAAACTACCCCTGCTCCAGGGATGACAGTAGTATGGATCAGGAGGAAATGAGCCTCCACTTTGGCACAAAAGCCCACAATATGAATTGAGGACGATCCGGGAGAAAAGCAACTGGAGATGAACGGAACAGCAAATCTACACACACACACTAGGTCTCCCTGACCCAACCTGGCCATTCACTCAGACTGTGGATGAGCGATGTGGGTGCATGGTGTCGGTACTTTTGCAGTCTCACGGAGGGCCACTGAGACCCACTGCTTACTTCTCAGCAAAACTCGATCCCGTGGCAGCAGGGTTGCCTCGCTGCCTGCGGGCTGTGGCTGCCGCTGAGAAAGCGGCCCTAGCATCACGTGACCTTGTGGGATACACTGAACTAACTTTGCTTGTGCCCCATGCTGTTTCCCTGATCCTGCTAGAGCAGAAAACCTCTCACCTTTCGGCGGCTCGTTGGCTGAAATACAACACGGTGCTCTTTGAACTCCCCAATGTCACGGTGAAAAGATGCACACAGCTGAACCCCTCCTCACTGCTGCCCACGCCAGAGGAAGGGGAGGCACACTGCTGTATCGCCACAATAGAACAGATATGCACTCCCAGGCCAGACCTGAAAGAGGTGCCTCTGACTAATCCTGACTTGATTTTTTTTATACAGACGGAGCCGCGTCACGTGACAACACTGGGAAGAACCGAGTCGGCTATGCTGTGTGTTCTGATTTTGATACTATAGACTCTGGTAGTTTGCCCCACTACCATTCAGCACAAACCGCTGAACTGGTCGCGCCCACCGGGGCTTGTGAGCTGGCAGCGGGCAAAACTGTTAACATATTCTGTGATACGCGCTATGGTTTCTCTGTGGTGCACGACTGGGGGGCACTGTGGAAACACCGCAATTTCATGAAATCGTTATGGTAAACCAATTCTTAATTCCACACAGGATGAACGTCTGCTGAAAAGCTGTAATGTAGCCCTTAGAGAATCGATGTACGCAAATGCCAGGCCACACTCATGCCACAGATACCCATCTCTGCAGGGAATCGGCGCGCTTGACAAGGCAGCGGCATACGCACCTCTACACACACACACACACTACCTTCTCAATCAAGACGTTGAAAATTACTCCTCTCTGTCAGCGATGCAGGACACTGGCTACTCCTCAGCAGAGACGCTGCTCTGTGGGAGGGGAATGGGTCTCAACGACGGCATGGTGTGTGTGGCTGGGACCAGACAGCAAACCGTGCCTACCACGTGGCATTTCTTCAGACAGTTTGCAATTAACAGTATATCCATGCCTCAGAAGGTAGGGATGTGTGAGATAATCCACACAAAATTGGTATACAAAGGGGTTTACGGCATTTGCACAGGAGATTCTGCCAAACATTAGCGCTATATGCCTCGCGCACAACCCAGGTAAGTCCCAAAAGTATCCAACAGGTTCTGCTCATCCTCCGCCCCTGCGCCCATTTCAACATGTCCAAAGGGACTTTGTTGAACTCACACCATGCCAAGGTAAGTAATACTGTCTGGTCTGGCGGATCTCTGGTCCAAATGGACTGAATATTTGCATGCAAACACGCCACGAGCAACGCGGTGGTTGAAAGCTCTGCTCACAGAAATTGTGCCACGATGGGGTGTCCCGAGGGGGAAATCTCTAGTGACAATGGCAGTCACTTTGTAGCAAAAGTCCATTGAGGAAGTGGTTAGTGAAATTTCTGGGGCATTGATATACGTAAACACTGCAGTTACGCCCCCTGGTCCGGAGGCGCGTGCGAGCGATGAGAATGGCACTCATGTACATGCGCCATGAGAGTCCCATTCGAAATCCTCTGTGCCAGACCACCCAACTTGGCGCGCAGGGACCCCCGAACAGAGATCTGCCAAGCACCTCTTTGTGTGATGACGACATGCTGTCCTATTGTAAGGAAATTAATGCACTTTTGTCCTCTATTTCTGCCCAGGGTCAGGAGCGCCCCGCCCCAGGGTGCGCAGGCGCCTGGGTCCTGGTGAAGGCAACGAGACGAAAAGCATTGGCGGTCAAAGCGCAGGCTCGGCCCATTCCTCGCCCTCCTGGTGACGGACACTGCCGTTAAGGTCGCGGAGAGGACAACTTGGATCCACGCCAACCACTGTCGTGCGGTGCTGCCACTGAGGGCCATAGACGAGGACACCGAGGGCGCGACGGACCAGGCCCATCCGCGGCTCCCTACGCTGAAGAAGTCGGCCGGGCGGATAGATCAGACCACCGTCGGTGAAGCAGGCCAACAACAACACCCAGAGAATCCCAGCGTTCCCGAGGCGACCCCCCTTTGCCCAACTCCCAGCCCCCGGATCCCAAGGCTTGGGAGCCATGAAGGCCCTGAGCGCTCTGCTCAGCTGCAGCAAGTATGCAGAGCTGCTGCCCATTCCAAAGATTTCTCCAGAGCTTGCTCCCTCTGGCCATAATGCAGATTTGAGCTCTGCTGGAGTGCCCCCTGGTGTACTCGTTCCCGTGTGTCCGGAGGGAGGTGGAGATGAGGGCTGCTCTACAGTTCTCTGATGAGGCACATGGTGAAGCGTGCTGTCATGAGGTCTCCCATCAAACGAGCTTTGGGCCTGGCCGATCTGGAGCGTGCTCAAGCCATGGTCTCCACACCCCAAACCCCGAGCACTCTGCCCAACCGAGTGCTGAGGCCAAGGCTTCAACGCAATTAGAGTCTTGCCGCTCCAAGACCAAACATCGCCATGACCACTAACGCTCCACACACGCTCATAGGGAGCGGTGCCACTGACTGCGAGACGGCACTGCTCGTGAGTATTCCCGCGGGAAAAGACTACCGAACGTGTGGTGACAGTTTTTGGAGTAATTACATAAAACCAGCCGCAGCAAATACACGGAATAATTTAAGTCAAAGGCCTTTTTTAACTGATTAATCAATGCAGAGACGACCTTCTGACGCCATGCTGAGCTTTGTGAGGGCCCCCCTGCTGTCTGTCACACCCTTGTGTCTTTCGTATCTTGCATCTGTATGCCTGCTTCTATCCATATGTCCCTGCTCCAGGAAGGAGCCGGGTCCCCCCCGACACCTACAGACAATGGCGATCACTCTTGCCCCCTTTCACCTCTTGCATATGTATCGGTCTGTATGTGTGCATGTTCTACATCCTGCAGTCTGTTTGCATCCCTATGGCGCGGCCAGATGTCTCTCCCCGGGACATGGCGTCTCCGCTCCAGAGCCCCGTCTCTGCTGAACCCCCCTCCCATCTGTTGTGGGCGGGACTGTCTTTCGTGTGTGTCTTGTAAACAGGAAACTCGGAGCTCTGCGAGCCAGAGCTGAATGCACGCTGTTTCTGTGTAGTCAGTAAAAGGCAGCCAAGTAGGGTGAAAGTATATGTACAATTGGAAGGTTTAGAAATTATTTCTGTTTATTTAATAACCTTTCATGAGTAATCAAAATCAGAGCTGCCAGACAAATTCTCGTCCTACTTAGCTGCCTACCAACGTTTCAGCGTGGCTTCCCCTATATTAAAAAGCATATTTGAACATGTTCTACAGAACATAGAACTACATTAAGTCCAACAGGACAACAGAACAACAGTCCAACGGGACAAAGACAAAGTCCAACGGGACTGAACAACAGAGATGCCAGAACGATGGCCGTGACTAAGTCCTACTCTCAGCTGGTGGGGAGCCTCGGACTTCTTCATAGAGCGGTAGCACCGGGCTCTAACTGTCACCTCGCCTGTCAGAGAATTTTTACCTGACACTGGTAATTAGAAAAACAACTTTAATCGTAACACATGTACATAACATTAGCTCGCTACGAATGGGTCATTGCGGGTATTAAACATGGATGTATGTATTAAAAGGCAGTCACATTAGTTAGCATGTTAGCAAGAGTTAGAACGTACCTTCAAAGTTTATGATGTACGAACAAACATACAACTTAAACCCCTTCTCCATGAGGCTCTGTGGAGTTATCAACACACTCCTGACCAGTCGTCGGACGTCATTAACCGAGACTTTTGGGATCTCGATTAAACAACGAGTAAAATCTGCCATTTTCCGTGGTAGTTGCATAGACTGTAACAGCAGTAGACCGGGTATGACGCGGCGCCGGAAGTGACATCTCATCTGACGCAGAACCCGGAAATGATGCGTGCATATAGCGCTCACGTGTTGCATTTATGGGCACGGTTCAACAATCTGTGCGCACA